AATATCACTTTGCCATTAAATTTGACTCCAGAAATTGATCCCTCTTCTTAGGTTATCTCCAACCTGCCTCTAAAATTAATGGTAAAAAATATCACTTTGCCATTAAATTTGACTCCAGAAATTGATCCCTCTTCTTAGGTTATCTCCAACCTGCCTCTAAAATTAATGGTAAAAAATATCACTTTGCCATTAAATTTGACTCCAGAAATTGATCCCTCTTCTTAGGTTATCTCCAACCTGCCTCTAAAATTAATGGTAAAAATCACTTTGCCATTAAATTTGACTCCAGAAATTGATCCCTCTTCTTAGGTTATCTCCAACCTGCCTCTAAAATTAATGGTAAAATCTCTAAATTTGGAGAGTGGAACCTCTCCAACCACTCTCCAAATTTGGAGGGTGAAGACAAATTTTGGAGAGTCTCTCCAAAATATTATTCATGTTTCATTAATTATAACTTTGTCATTTTAACTATTTAATTTCTTAAAAATTACCACTTTACCATTATTCTTAGTAATTTAAGTTAGATATTTAATTTTAAATAAATATAGTTAAAAAATTATTAATCTGATATTTGAAATCATTATATATTTGGAAAGGTCTCGTTAAGATCTTTAAAATGAAACTAAGATAAATTTATTTTAGTATTATTGTAAAATTATTAAATTATTAAATTAAATAAATAAGTATCATACATGAAATTTTAAATACGAGGATCTATTTAACTTGCCCCCATAAGAAAACACAAGCATAATTTACAATATTTAAATTACATTCCTTCGTTGTCATGCATCTGCCATAAATGTTCAATTAGCGCGTTTCGAAGCGTAAAATGAGCTTCCCTATCTTGAATTCTCTTATGTAGATCAAGGAATCGTTGGAATCATTCGGCATCATTAATATCTATCTCTTCAGGTCTTGAAGATTCGTCGTGAATAATAATCTCTGGTACAATAAACCTGATTTTTTATTTTGGTATTGCAGGGAGTTGTAGTCAAAGTTTAGAAAGGCTAAAAGGGTTGTTCCATTTTCTAAATCCTTTGAGGGGTTTTTTGATATCAGTACGTTAACATCTTTATTATGTGTTGAAATAAGTCCTTTGATTAGTGTTAGGGTTAAATATAATAAACCGCAGTTTGGTTAACCCTAACCATGGCTGGCTAATTACAAATTAAATATTTATTAAATATAAGTCCTTATGTCAGTGTTAGGGTTAAAAATAGTAAACCGTGGTGGGGTTACACCTAAAAAAAAACCCTCATTATTGTCAAAGTTGGTCATATTCTCCTCTAATTCATAATTCAACCCAAAGCCATCAAAGCTCCCATCATCAATCCCCTATTTCTCCTCATTCTCTCCAATCTAAGTGGGTTGAGCTCCAATCGAAGGATTGGCCTCAAGGGGCATCAAAATCTTTCTGCCACTAACAAATTGAGGGGAGAAGAAGAAAGGGGAAACATGTTTGGGTTGTACTAAACAGTAGGGCTGAGCATGGTTCGGTCCAAACCGAAAAAACCGACCGAACCGACCCGAACCGACCCGAAAAAATCGGTTTTATGAGTGGGGTGGTTCGGGTCGGTTTGAAAACTTTTCAACCCGAACCGACCCGAACCGACCGAATATAGTGCAATACTACTCATTCTGATCTCAAACCCTACCCAACCCGTCCCAAAAGAGTCAAAGACTCAAACCCTAAACTCATTTTCTAAATCATTATGGGTTAAAAATAATATCATTATATCGGTGTTTAATGCTTCATAATCTCTTACTTTGTTGATATTTTTTTTCTTTAATACAGTTTGTTGTTTGATAAGAAGTTTGATGAAGTTAGAACCGAACCGAACCGCACCGAACCGACTTGCAACAGTTCGGTTCGGTTTTGATTTATAAGCGGTTCGGTTCGGTTGTTCAAAATTTGGTAAAAACCGAACCGAACCGACCGTTGCACACCCCTACTAAACAGGCCCGGTATGGAATTTGGGGGAGTTATTAATGAATTTAGTGTGTTAAATGAGGGTTATCAATGTCAATTTATGGATGAAGATTAAATATAACGGAATATCCCCCCGTCTATAATCCCAACTAACAATAGATACTTATATCAACACAATATAAAGATTTTAGCGACTAAAATCAAATTACCAAAGATTTTAGGGACAAATATTGAAAAACTAGTGTTGGGCATCGGCTGTTTCGAACCGTGGGATGAACCAGTCTTGCTCAATTTGGGTTAAAACCCGGCCCGGTCCACATTTGGTAGGCCAACCTAATCCACATTGGGTCAGGACAAACCCGACTCATATTAGAGGTGGATCATAGGTTCGCGCGCCTAGATCTTTAAGGCCAGAGCGCAGGTTCACTGCGTGGCGGGCCCATCTATAGTGGACCCCCCCCCCCCCCCCACCCACCACCAGCTGCCCCCACAACGTGCGCCTACCGGCCCCAGATAAATTATAAATTTTTAATTTTATTTAAGCATTAGCAGTTAACATATTTTCCCCCTCTATATTTGTAAAATAAATTTTAAACTAAAGCGATGGTCACTCGTGCTGCGGGCCATTATAGGCCCCTCCACCACAGCCGGCGCCCACCCGGCCCCAGATAAATTATAAATTTTTAATTTTATTTAAGCATTAGCAGTTAACATATTTTCCTCCTCTTATATTTGTAATTAAAATTTAAACTAAAGGGAAGTTAATATAGCTTCTTATGGATGTTAAGTTTTGCTTTGAAGTCTAAATCATGTATATCCATGCGTTTGCAATGTTTTTCTATGTGATGTTTATCCTCGGGATTAGAGAGGTAAGCTCGGCCCACCATAATCTGCGCAGGCTTGGTGGGGGGGGGACACTCGAACGGCGGTGATATTGACACAAAACTGCATCCTGTACAACATATAGTTTCTGAGTGTATTACCATGGAAAATTAATAATAGCAATTGCATGACATGCATGGTTCATGATGTATGTATCATGTCTATAATAGTGATAAAGACACTCCAGAGCACATTGAATGTAGAACTGAAACTTGAGCATATGTTGTTTCTGATTATATTGACATCCCAAAGTAATTTTTCAGCTGTTTCGTACTATATTTTGATATATTTAATATCTCAGGCTATAAACATGCAAATTTCTTAGATCTCAGAGTTTCTCTCTTTCGTAGAAATACGAGATATTATGGTCTTTTTTTACTCCTAGAGTTTCTCTCATTTGTGGGGATAATATGAATTCAGCATCAATATTTGTCACGATACTGACTGCAATACGCAATTAATGTTCTATCAATATGACATGGACTGTGGATTTAGAGTCCTAGAGTCTAATTAAGAAGCTTGGGGAGAAAAACAACAGCAGAAATTACAGGTAACAAAGGGCTATGAATAATTCATTACATTCTGTGGATGGATCTCTTAATATTGCTCCGGATTTATTACGAATGTTTCTGTGTTTTAACTGAATATGCTGACAAAAAATAAGTCCTAGGAAGAGGAATTCGAAATTTCAATCAAATACATTGTGTTTTTGTTTGAGATTACAATCAAGATAATAAGAGGCTAGTTGGATGCCTAAGAAATTTTTCTTGATGTCATCCTCTTGGTCAGTTTGTACCTGACCATTCTAGCAATTTTGCAGAACCAAAATATGCTAACCAGCTGCAATCCCATTGCCATCATCTGAGAAATCAAAAGCGAAATTTGTGAAATTTTAGGTTACATAATGAAGGGTTAATTGTAGATAAATCTCATGTAACATAAGAGTAGTCACTTATACCCCCACAAGGTGACAAAAAGCATTAGGCTGTGCCCAATTTCGTATCTAAAGCCTAGGCGGGGCCTTAGGTTTGTGTTTTTGTTTTTGTAGTTATAATAATTGATAGTAAATACAATGTTACAGAAAATGCTAGGCGTCAAGACTGGTGGCTAAGCGGATTTCTTTCTTTGTTTAATTGGCGGTGACTGATATTTTGATGAAGATTGGAGAAATAGATGAGGTGCTCGTAGATTGTGGAGGAGGCCAGAAGAGTTTGGCGGAGGTTGGACGACGTGAAGGCTGCAAGGGAAGAAATCAAGACCGATATCTAAGGGCAGTCTGTATAAGCGGCTCACACTCTCCTAGACGTTTCCAATACATACTCCATTGGCCTAGGTACCGCTTAGGCCTATGCATGTGCCTAGGTGGGCTAGATGCTTGTCTTTTTAAAGCATTAGTACCCCTTAAATTATTTTATCAATACTGACATCTCTTGAACTTGAGACGACATTATTTCTCCCATTTGCTTTAGATGTCAGCATGAGAATCAAGCAACAACAAGTTACCTTTTGCTCTAAAGTTTAACTAAAAAAGACTAAATTACCCTCTAAAATGTGAGCGAAAAAGTTAAACATCTTCTACGAGTTATGAGGTATAAGTGGGCTGTAACACCATAATAGTTCATTGGGTGTAACTTCTATTAACCTTAATATTTGGGGACCATGAGATACATTAGAGTCGTACCTTAATAAGCATAGGATTATCTGCAGTCAAAGTAACATATGTGAGATATGGACCACCAATCATCCTTGCAAATGAGAATATGAAGGCAAATAGAACCTGCATCATTTAAAAGAAATGAGTCATCAGTTTTGCTCTTGTTCATTTAATTTTCAATCAAGATCCCATCATTTGAAAATGATTGACAAAAGGGTGGCTGTCATCCTAGAATGCTCCGATTTGCATACAATTACTCCTTTTTCTTGTAAAAGATGGTATATATATGAAGTGCATATTCATGTATTATATGTAAGAGAAAAATAAAATCTCAAGACTTCTAAAGACTTTTTTTGTAAGAAGATTAGTATATGAAGTGCATATTCATGTATTATGTGTAAGAGAAAAATAAAATGCCAAGACTTCTATGCTCAAAATAAGTAATGATACAGGGTAAGGCTTTACTATTTTTATCAGTTTCTTTTTTTTCCCCCTTCCCTTCTCTCTGGAGGAATTACTCTATTATGACATTATCGAGGATCAGCATGTTTAAGTGAACATTACTACAAAATAAATATATAAATCCCCAACATGTTAATGAGAAATCATGCTAAATAATACAAAGCCATTGAAAACCAGATTTCTTAAAACTCACATCAACTGCTAAATTGAGATCAGTATCATGATAACCAATCTCTTTCAGAAGCTCTCTCATATGTAGAATAGGGCTAGAGATCTCAGTTATCCACAAAGCGGCAACCATCTCTGATCCACACTGCAAATGCAAACCAATAAACTAATATCAAAATAAAACTTAATATAAAAAACAAACATCAGAAATTGTTCACTAATATCCTTCACCTTTTGATGTGCAAGTCCTGCTCCAATACCAACTATACTAACAAGATGATGAACTGAATTGTCTAGATTAACTCGCTTGCCAATGTGACAGCATATAAGATCATATATCATATATGCTACTGTCACTGCTAAAGTTTTCATCTATAAAATCTTACACAAGAAAGTTAATGAAAAATTCAAACAAATATAAGGAGGGGAAAACCATACATGATACTAATACCTGCCATGGTGAAGATTTTGATGCTAAGGGACATACAGGACATCTCCAGTCTTGAACAGAGAGAGAAGCTAAACAGACACCAAATATTGCATGAATTGTGGACACAATTCTATTGCAAAAATCAAACGATCGATGAGAAAATAGTTTTCTGATAATAATGAAGGTTGTTGCCCAACTAATTGTTGCGGAAAAAATCAATTTGATGATATAATCTTCCATTTGATGTAATATTGATAAATTTCAGAATATTTGATTCCTCTCACTTCTAATATGGATGAGGGCATTTAAAGGTTTGGTTCATAAATTCGTGTAGTTGGTATGATTGAAGTTGGTTAAGGAAACAGGTAAGAAAAGAAGGGCAAAAAAATCTTTGCCAGAAATATTTCCTTCTAATTAGATATATATAAATTAGTCAGTTTATCTAGAAAGTTTTTATCTTGATACATTATCGCATTTATTTGTGTTGGTAGGTTTAGCTGAATGCATCTGTCACCAACCGTTTGTTTGCCGATGACAGTTGAAATTATGTTCTGTTAGATGAAGGTAAGGAGTACAAATATTTATTTCTTTGTCCTCTCTACATCCAAAGCTCATGTCTTGATACGTTATTTTCATGAAAGAGGCAGTTCACCTGTGATTCCTTTGTAAGTATTTTTTTTTTTTTTTTTTGGGTTGTTCACTGGTTTTGTTGGATAGGAAGCAAAATAGCTGGTTTTTTTTTTTTTTTTTTTTGGGTTGTTCACTGGTTTTGTTGGATAGGAAGCAAAATAGCTGCCAACTTGATTAATTTTTATTATTTTTCATAGAGCGCTTACATGCATCAAAATGATTAGGCTCCTGCTTTATCTGTTTTAGTGTATAATGATGCTTGTGCATATCCCAAAGTTGCTACCATGTCTTAAATAGACCACAGATACAGTCGATTATTTAAATAAAATTTCAATTAGCTTCTGTTATCTATAGCTTTCATTGGCTAACAGCTACCAAATTATATTAATGTCCACTATATTAGGAACGGCATTGTTCATGGCAGTTAGAGGCAATCGAACTTATCTTCTTTCTCCAAAAATTTTTATTTATACAAAATTAGGAAATTTTCAACTAAAAAGTGGAGGTGCATTCATTCATTAATTGGTTCCATGGTGTCGTTAGGGGTTAATAAAGGGTGGGTCAAGAAATTAATGATGTCGTTTACCTTGTTTACCAAAGTCAAGAGACTTGACAGATTTAATATATAACCTACTGCACGAAGTTGACAAAGATTGATTAATTTGTCCAGAAATATTAAAATTGATTGGAAATTCTAGAATCATGCACTGCTTGTGCAAAAGACATTTTGCATGTTTATCATGTGACTATTACATATCATGCACGTATTAAAGCTGAACTGGGTTCTGTGAAGGTTAAGACAGTTGATACTCTGGGGATTTGAAGTTCAGATACCGCTTTCAAAGTTAAACTGCATGATTATGGTGATCTTTCGAGGCATGATAATGCTAAACATTTCTTCTTCTTTTTTTAATTGTGTTGATGTTTCTTTTTGTTTATACAGTTTGTTTCTCAGCCTAGTTATCATAACTTAACCGATTAAGTTTAAAGAGATATTATATATGGATTCGGATCCGCTCCAGTTATGTGGTAATTGAAGACGGTCCAGACTCCAGTTACCCCAGTCATTGCCCTCCATTCCAATTTCAAGGATTGTGATCATGCCACGTAGCATTACCGTTTTCACAATAATGGTTTTCAAGACAGTGCTTTCAAAATAGTATTGGAAATGCTAGGTAGGGTTGCCACTTCCCCATTCCAATTTTGTGAATGCTCAATGGACTTTCTGTTATAGCATTAAGCACCTGCTTTTGTACACAAAACACAAACTTCGGATATCAAGAGCTTAGAAAGTCCATATCACGCCAGTAAAGGTACAGCATTATTCAATATTGGTGGTGGTGCTTCAGGTTTGCGTGCTTGTTCATAATTTGACAGAAACATAATCATCTTTTGATTTTGTAGACATAGTTTTGAGGCAGCTTGGAAGAAAATGATATCTTCAAGGATCATCGAGCCTCTGTGCTGTAAGCATATCTCATTGTGTATAAAGTTCATCCAAATTTTGAGTCCTACCTGCAAACTCATTCTCTGATATTGTAAATAATAATATTACTTCAGAATATTTTCACAAATGTTGCGTGCAACCATTATTCATTTTTCTTAACTATAACCTTAATTTTGGAGATACAACAATTGTAACCAATTATTTCCATTGTAGCACCTCTAATGCCTGTTTGTGCAGCTGAGGATCTCCAGCAGCGGCCACATTGAAACCTAAAACAGATAATCCAGAATAACATAAGTATTGCAAGAAGTGATATTTCAAAACAAACTAAGCATCGAACGACGTTTGCTTACTTGTTGCGCGTGAATCAGCAGATGCCTCCCAAGTAAGCTTATTCCCATTCCAGTCGGTGATTGATCCACCAGCTCCTTCTATTACTGGTACCAATGAAAGGAAATCATAGGGCTGTTGATTGACAACGAGTAAACACTATTAGTTTTAAATCACATAGGGTTTTCTTAGATATTCATCCCTTAAATCTTTTCATACTTTAAAACTAGTCCATCCAAATTAGTAACCACGGCGTGCCTTTTGGTTTGTGTAGAATATACCATCAAACTTAACCTTATAACATGAGACATAACCTTCAACTTATATGGTTAACCTTATAGTAAGATTCATCCCCATTCTTGAACCAAAACTTTAACCTAAATCCAAACCCAAAATTTATATCTGCTTCGAATACATAACACCATCCGAAGCTTTTGCCTCGAAGCCATCATTTCAAACAGCTCTTTCACTAGTAGAAAACTGAGTATTGGCGACGGGGTATTGGCGACGGATTTGAAATCCGTCGCCAATACAAACATTGGCGACGGAACATTGGCGACGGGGTTGTTCCCGTCGCTAATGTTTGTATTTGCGACGGATTTCAATCCGTCGCCAATGATTTTCCGTCGCCCATAAGTATTGGTGACGGGAAAACATTAGCGACGGATCGAATCCGTCACCAATATTTATTGGTGACGGATCGAATCCGTCGCCAATACTTATTGGCGACGGATTTGATCCGTCGCCAATGTTCCGTCGCCAATATGTTCACCAATAAATTGGTGACGGATTCAATCCGTCGCCAATGTTCCGTCGCCAATACTTATTGGCGACGGATTTGAATACGTCGCCAATACTTATTGGCGACGGATTCAATCCGTCTCCATTAAGTATTAACGACGTATTTGATCCGTCGTCAATGTTCCGTCACTAATACTTATTGGCGACGGATTCGATTCGTCGCCAATAAGTATTGGCAACGTATTCGAATATGTTACCAATAAGTATTTGCGACGGATTCGATCCGTCGCCAATGTTCCGTCACCAATACTTATTGGCGACGGATTCGAATACGTCAGCAATACTTACTGGCGACGAATCGAATCTGTCGTCAATATTTTTCCGTCGCCATCGTAAAAAATTAACATTAGTGATTGATTATCCCATTGTTAATGAGTGAAGAATTATTTTAATATTAGTCCCTCAAATCTATAATATTTTAAATGTAGTCCAATACTATTTTGTTCCACGCAGGTAGATGATAGCTTGAGAGCTGAAGACGTGGAAGTCTACTATGATCCAAGACAGTTGTTTGGTGGCCTTCTCAAGGGCCCCCTGCTCCCCTCTAGTGTCGTCGTCGAGGAGGCTGTAGCCGCAACTTTGTCGCTGGAGGCATGTCCCTTTTTCAGGGAGAAGTGATATATGCTTCCTGAATTTGAATTTGCTTGGAGAACGAATCTATTAGTTTTCTCGTTAATAAATGAATGGAATTAGTGGAAATACCTCTTGCTTGTTCAAAAATTAGTGGAATTAATAAGCAATATAAGAAGGTGGTTTTCTAGTCACATTTTTATACTTTCAAGAAAACCAATCTAAAGATAACCACTAACGGGTAGAAAACTGAGCATTGACGACAGATTTGAAATCCGTCGCCAATACAAACATTTGCGATGGAAATATACATATGTTATTAGATTCTTATGTTAAAATATTTTTAATTAATTAGGAATTCTATGTTAGTTTTAAAATTTATTTATTTTTATTATTTATGCTAGTAGATTCAATGACCTCCACTACTCTTGGCTTCATTTACGGATGGACTTGAGCCTGTAAACATCATTAATGAATCTGAGAGGAGATAAATTAGATTTAATCACTAAAAACCGGATGAAAATAGTTTGGATAGAGTTCCCTTGGAGTTTTTATAAGATTAAGAGGAGAAAGAGCCGTCAAAATTGAGTTCGAGCGAATATGATATAACGGTCCTGTGTTCGAACTCTTGGATCGCCACTACTTTCTTTTTTTTGTGAACTTTTTACATATACGACCAAGCATTGTATATATTTGTAAATACCCCCCAAAGCATCATTTTACTAATTTCCCCTTCTAAATTGTCTTTTCAATTTAAGCGTATGTCTCAAATTGAACGAAGATTTAATGACCAAGAAAATCGAATACATATTTGGTTAATTTCTATTTGTTTATGAGTTGAATAACTAATAGTTATTCATTTATTGTTAAATGAGATAGTGAATCAAATTTGATCGAATAGCTAGATGAATAATAACTAAACAGTTTATTGATTATTTGGTTCACTTCCACCCCTACCTCTAGGCTCATGAAACACATCTACTATTATTGTTTAAGACGCATATATTGCTATTGTCTGAGAAAAGTTATTCCTAGGTACTCTACCTCGATACTAATGACCATTTAAATTTTGTAGATGTACTACAAAATGTACTCATCACTTTGAATTTTACAACGTAATAGAGAGACGTGTGGAAAAAATAACAAACAACCTAATTTACTCGTTCTTTATACGTTTTTAAAATCTTTATGACTCAAACTACAAGTAACAAATGCTATAATAATTAACAATATGGTTTGTTATACATAAATTTGTGATGGATTGTTATACGTAAGTGATAAAATATCAATATGGTTTGTTATACATAAGTGCGCAATTGATGGCAAATGTAATCATTAGATTGTTTTACATAAGATTACAGTTGATTTGAGGGATGTAATAGAAATTTTCATGATCTGAGTGAGTAATTTTTTAGTATTCGTCTTATAAACTAATAGAATTTAACTAAAGTAATATTCAATTCGGTTAATTATTAATTATTTGATAACTTTTTATATGTTAATCCTATTAATTAAACTTGTTGTAAATATTACCCATCAAAATTTTTATTACAACTTCTACCCATATATAAGTAGACATGTTAAGGGACCTAGAGTTTCACATGTCCTTTGGATCATCAATGAACGGTTTAGATCCCCAATATAAATAGTTGTAACTCCCCATCTCACAAACCCTAGATCTGAGGCAGCCAATTGTCCAAGTCCCCATCTCTCAGTCTCATCTGCATTTCTCGTCGACGACTTGTGCTCCTCCCTCTCCGACGCAGTCAAACTAACTTCAATAATATAATTTGTAAACATTCATTCATTTTCTCGAACACAATCCCAATCTCCTATTCCTAATAACATCCTAATCTCCAAAAAAATCATAAAGCTTAGTAAAACGTATGACTCTAGTAAGCCACTCTCTCCAAAGAAACTTCTTTTCTACTTTTACTTATCTTCTAACCTCCCAATAAATGAGGAAAATTAGTAAAAATTAGGGAAAAGAAACCATTACAAAATCGTTATAAAAAACTTCTAGAAATTTCGCCGACCCATTTCCCCCCAAAATTTCGCCGCTCCCTTTCGCCTCAAAATCGAAATTTTATTCCCGCCCTCTGAAGTTGGTAAAACCCCCTTCTTTCCCCTTGAAACCCTAGTTTCGCAATGGACGCCGAAATCAAAGCCGAGTTCGAGAGGAGCGGTTTCTTCTTTCAAGAAGAAGAAGAGCAGATCCTTCAGAAATGTAATCGCTTCTCTTTCAATTCCTCTCGTTAAACCACAAAGATTTAACGAATTTTTTTTTAATCATAATGTAGTCAATTAAGTGAGATTTTGATAAGATTTGGTGGCTTTGGTAAAACTAGGAATTTAATTTATTGACATGAAGCTTACTAACATAAGTCCTGAGTTTTATAGCTTCTCTCTTGATTGGAAACTGTCTACTTTTTAGTAGCTTACTAACATAAGTCCGCAATATCAATCACACTAATCATTGATTGGAAATTGTCTACTTTTTAGTAGCTTCTCTCTTGTAAGGATGTCAACATTGAGCAAAAACAAAGAAAACACTTCAAATATTGAGTAGAACTTGAGCCCTTCATGATTTCTTGATACAGTAGAGATAGCTCTACTAAGGTGCAACCACTTTTTATTCCAATAGCCATCTCTGCTATCCTCATCCCTGCCAATTAATGTACATGGAGTTCATTGATTGCTTCTCAACATTATCATGTAAGTCAAGTACGCTCCTATGTGAACTCTCCTATCAGATGTTAATGTCATCCCTTTTCCTTTTCCTTTCTCTTTTATTATTCTTACTGTCTTTCATTATTTTTCACTCAATGATCGTATATATTATGTTGAGGCAGTTTTACGATTTCATACTTTGATTTTTGAATAGCCTTTGGATATTGAGCGGTCAGGTATGATGCATGAGTTTAAGATTGCACACCAAAACAATCAACCTCCATTTTGTTTCCAGTTGTAGAATGCTTCAAAATGACTTTTCCATTATTGAGGGGTGTTAGATGATATGCATTGGTTTCCAACTGACCAACCTACTGTTACTATCTTGCATACATTTTGCTTAATCTGCTAAATAACAAAATAATTCTTGAGAACTCAAGGTCATGATCTTGTGTCTTTATAGTTAGGTTATTATGATGTCAACTCTTAAGAATTCCAGAGAACTCAAGGTTACAAATGAATAGTTTACCCAAGTGACTTCATTGATATTACTTGTTTCGGTATTCAAAACTCATGGATGATAAGTTGGAAGCAAAATTTCTTATTTCCAATAACTAACCTTATCTAATTTTCAAGCCTATTTAAATATCAATTCCTAGGCAATTTATTCTTTTCCTTGCATATTTATTCTCCTCTGCCTTATATTTGATAAAAGATTTATTAGTAGGCTGGCATATTTAGATTCTTATCGTACGTGTAATGTTATCCCCTTGTAGGTTTTTGTCTTTGTGACTGCCGAATACCAAACTCCAAAGAATTCGCTTAACCAGGTAATTTCTTTACTGAAGTTTCTAAGGAGTTGATTTTCTTTTCTTTTTGTATTCTTTTTTGGGTAACAGAAATGGCTATCTATATGATTTATATTCCCCCTGATATTATTACCGGCTGATATTATGTAATTTCTTGCTTAGGTAGTCTTATGATGTGATCAGGTATTTTCAATCTGCCTTTTTAAGGATTGTTTGACAATCATGTCTTGAGAGAGTATCAGGAGGCACTTAAAGGAAATAGGATTTAATCACCAAAAAAGGAAATAGGATTAGGGCTTAGATGATTTATTTAGTTATTTTCTGTGATTTAGTAGTGTGGGACTTTGTTTAGTCAGGCTCGACACTTTCTCCTGGTTCAGTTGAGTCAAAATATGGTTTAGTTGTTTATTTGCTGATTTAATTGCGTAATCACATATTGGCTTAGTGATCTTTTGTTCAGTCTTGGATCTTTTATCTATTACTTGAATGTTTCATTGATAGTTTTGAAATTTTTTTCTTTAATTTTGACATTTAGGGGGAATTTTCTTTATTCTAATATTTGTCTTGTATGCTGGTCTCAATAAATCTAAGGGGGAAGCTTATTTCTTCTACTAACAAGTTTGAGATTTCTTTAATTTTGACATTTAGGGGGAATTTTCTTTATTCTAATATTTGTCTTGTATGCTGGTCTCAATAAATCTAAGGGGGAAGCTTATTTCTTCTACTAACAAGTTTGAGATACAGGAAAATGCACTATGAACATGCTGTATTTATTGAACGTGTTCGATAGGCTTCAAAAAAGGACAGGATGAAGATGAAGTTTTCTTAAACAATTTGCACTTGTGTTTTATGTCATTAATTAGTATTGAAACTTCAACGTTGTATTTGTTACTTGTAATAATATTTTTCGATATTGTGATTATATGATGAGTATTGTTCGATATTGTGGATTGATGAATGAGTATTCATTTGGGATATGAATGTATATCATGGTTGATTTTATGAAATATTGTTATTGGATTGATGTCGATATAGGCTATATGTGTATTCTCGTATGGGAGGCTACCAGAAAATCAAAATTTTTTTTGCGTAAATATATACATTGGCGACAGATTTCCCCGTCGCCAATGCACATTGACGACAGAGATCCGTCGCCAATGTTTAAAACATTGGCGACGGGTACATACCCGTCGCCAATGTTTTAAACATTAGCGACGGGTACATACCCGTCGCCAATGTTTTAAACATTAGCGACGGATTATCCGTCGTCGATGTGCATTGGCGACGGGGAAATCCGTCGCTAATGTTTAAACATTGGCGACGGATCTGCCCGTCGCCAATAAACATTAGCGACGGGGAAATCCGTCGCTAATGTTTAAACATTGGCGACAGATTTCCCCGTCGCCAATGCACATTGGTGACGGGTAGATCCCGTCGCCAATGAAATCCGTCGCCAATAGTCGTCCGTCGCTAATAAGTATTGGTGACGGGTAAATCCGTCACCAATAGGCATTGGCGACGGATTTATTGGCGACGGATCCATTTCCGTCACCAATATGTATTGGTGACGGATTTTGGGGCATTGGTGACGGATTTCCCCGTCGCCAATGCCTTGTTTTCTACTAGTGTTTCACTAAATCGTTTAAATCTCCTCTTCTAATACATCCATAACTTCATCCAAAGCTTGAACCTAACCCAACCAGAGTAAAATAATTGGATGGAGAAAATAACAGAAGAACTAATTGGAGTAACTTATACAAGTTGGACTAAATGGCAATTCAAGGATTTGAGGAACTAATTTAAAAATATAAAAAATTTAAGGGACTAATAACTAAGAGAACATCACCTCATACACTGTACCAAAGCTGACCATGTCAAGAAAATAAGCTATGGGCTTAAATCGATATGGCTATGGACATAATAATATTTGAAATCATGTGATCTCTCAAATAGAAGAGGTGGCGGTTAAGAACAGGAATATTACCTTAAGCCCAGATTCAACGACAAGATCCACAAAACCGGATGCTAGAAGAGCATAGGCATAACAGTCACAGCCATATAATGGTACTTTCACCTTGAATAAAAATAGAGGAGAAAAAAATTACAATACTTGTTGACGGATGATGAAATTTGACCCAATAGAATGTAAAGGTTTTTATATTAGTTCAGAAAAGTAAATATGCTTTTGCACCTGCCTCTATGTTAAAAAATAAAAGAAGAAGAAAAAAATGAATGTATGAAAAATCCTGCCAAAAGCGTGAATTTTATCTCAGAAGTTTCTCTTTACATAAACTAGTTACTGACTTCACTCTAGTATACACGAACCTCATTCCTCACACGAGCGAAAGCCTCCTCAGCCTCCCCATTAAAGAGATGTGGACTTGTAGTATACCTAAGAAGAAAACATTTTTACAGCATGCCAACATAAATAAACCATGTACAAGTTTGCACTGATGCTGATCGAATAACTGACAATTATTCTCATTGCTATAATTGGTAAAAGCCACTAGCCACTATGTCCAAGCATTTTACTAAGAGGGGTTGGATTTCATATCAATAGAATTAGTTCATAAAAAAGAGGAAATAAAGTAAAGGAATATTACCTAAAAATCCGTTGCTTTACATTTTTAAGATTACCCTTTTTACAACTTATAAAAGGGCTGATGGTCAAGGAATGATAAACTAGGAGTTGTGATATCGAGAGGTGAAAATGAAACATAGCTTGATTGATAAGAAGAGATCACTATTTAGTCCTAACAAAGCTAAATGGAGAAAAGGGCTTTATGATTTGTTAGTTAAAGTATATGCTTGAAAAATAGTTTTTAAGTCTATAAATGACTAAATTAGTCATTTATAGACTTAAAAGCTTATCTTGTTAGCTAAACTATACTTACAAATAGGCTTGGGAAAGTTTGCTACACTCTCGTGTAGAAATTTCTCGTCCATTCAATGTAGTTCTTCTCCCATTCATCCCAATCCATCTTTCCTTCAAAATTGGTTGGTCAATAACACCAACAATCTGAAGATTTAAGAAAATGAAAAACTTCTCAATATGCAAAAAAAAAACATTCATCAATTTACAAATCCCTGAGATATTATGTGAATGAAGAATGTAGCTTGATTTATGTCAGATGAGATGCTAGAGCATCTGCGAGTATGATAAGCATGCTTAGAGGAAAGAAATTCTCCATGCACATATGGCTACAAAAGAACAAGAAGCGGGGTTCTGCTAAGGAAACATGAAGTCCAATGTGAAGCCAAGAGTTGTGAGAACGCATCCAAGATGGTTGACATGTCATATTGCTCCTACGATTGCTGGTGTAGACTACGGTCTAGTTATTAGCCCACAGATGGATGTTTGCACTTTTGTTGACGTCAGGTTATTACTGCTTTAGACCCAAAGTCAGGTTACCCCACAGACTGTTGACGTCAGGTTATTACTGCTTTAGACCCAAAGTCAGGTTACCCCACAGACAGATTGCCCATAGGAGTGATAATCTTTTTAGCCCTCTGATGGTGGAAAATCCTACTGATGTTGAGTAGTCATGTTCCTGCTTCATGGTTGTACGTTAAGACCAAGTCAGAGAAGGGCTCATGGTTTTTCATGGATGATTTAACTATACTCTTTTTGTTGGGATATTCATGTGAACATAGTCTCACATTAGAAAGAAGAAAGAAAAGAAAGAGTGATGAGTTTAATAGGAGTTGCCTACCCAATATTTTAAGCTTTTTGGTTAAACTTGGTTCCTAGCTTCTATTAAGGCTCGTTAACTCCCGGTTAGGCCCAATTTCTCCCCAACACAGTTATGGGCAAAAAATAACATGTTTCATGGTGAAAGAATTGGAACTCTTAATCCACGAAAAAATTTAAATCACCGGCAATTGAAAGAATTGGAAAATGCAAATAATAACTTGGTATAGATGGATTATGCTGATATAGATGATCAAATATTCTGAAGATAAAACTCTACTGATAGCATACATCTCCTCCTACTATCTCCACGCCCACCAAAACCTCCTTCCAGTCTGCACCAACCGCCTCATCCATTAACACCTCCTTCACGACCAAAGTGGCAGTAACCAGTGATAATAGGTTTTCCAATTTCAGTTTTGCCCTCTCCAAACACGATTTTTAAGCGACACTTTCTGGTGCGCCTTAAGAGTCTATTAAAAAGCACATGCATATGGCTGTGATATGAAACACAGTAAAGTATTTACTATATTGTCAGGTGATTTCAGTTTCATACACCAAAGTATAAGTGTATAACTAAGAGAGTCAAAACATACTGGTTTCCCTTTGTGTAGAAGCGCAATCAGAGTACCAAATAAAGGTTTTCCTACACGTCAAAACAAAACAACAGTTGCTGCTCAATGTTTGTTTGCAGTTATCAATACCGACAACAATGGAAGATAAACTCAAGAAGAAGTTACCTGTAATAAAGCTTTTAGTTCCGTCAATAGGATCCAAAACCCAAACATAATCAGCGGACTCTTCCTTACACTTCCAACCATTTTCCTCCCCAAAACTGTATCAATATCTAAGTCACCAAATTTGAACTTATTTTTTCTTTTCATCTCAATATTAATAATATTAAGACAGAACTCATCTTACATGGCATGAGAAGGAAACTTCTCCAATATGATGGAGGCCATAGACTCCTCTGCATCACGGTCAGCAATCGTCACTGGACCTGGAAATGGAAGAAAATTTATTTTTAAAATTAGGGAAAATGCAGTTTCAAAATAACCAAAATCCGCATTCTAGGCTTTGATAATCAGGTTTAACAAGGTTCAATAAGGGTATATAATAAATATATCTATATATGAAGAGGAAAAGTGTCCACAAAATTGTCCTGCTTAGTCATATCAGTATAATTCATACATATTTCTAGATGAAGCACTACAGGAAGGTAGCAAATGATAACATCCAGGGAAACATTGTGGTATTTAAGTGAAGGAAAAAAATGAGTAGGGAATATTTGCATACAAATATAGTGACATTGGAGAGTTTTCCTGCAAATAAGCAGAAGAATAAATACTTTCCAGGGAAAGATGAACAAATTAAAAGTATCAATTTAAATTTATAAGACCCGCGAAAGCCGCATCAACTTTAACAACTAAATGCTTACTAGCTATAACGATTCTACGGGATGTGTATGAATAAGTCAATTCCCGCAGAAATCACTAGTGACCAGGAATACATAAGCTATCTTCGCTAGATTTTGGTAAAACTGCATCTCTGATAGTTTTTCAGAAAACATATTTACATAAGTAAAAAATATTGTATTTTGAGTTTTGATTAACTATATTTGTATCCATGAACGGATGAAAAAATATGGATATGATAAACCCCACGTTCAATCCAAATGCACCCCTCTACTCTGACGAAAAATTGCAAATACCATTCAACTGTACATAATCATTCAAAACCCACTGGAAACTATAAAAGCTGACATCTTTATTAGTTTTGTCCTTCTGAAGTTATGAAAACTTACATTCATTAAAAAAAGGGGGTTTGTTCAAAAACTCAAAGTTTTATACTGAATCACTGATTTATCTCCAAATCACCCCCATCAAAATTTACTCTTAAACCCAAAATACCCATACTGAATTATTTATTTCTAAACCCAACTATAGCATCTTAGACCCACATATGGTTACTGACTTACTGGTACACCAAATATAGCATGATAGGTGAAAAATATACCTAATGATATGCCAAATATATCAAACTTAGACCCAATTATAGCTACAGATACACCAAACATAACATCACAGACCCAAATAGAACTACAGACACACCAAATGCAGAAATTTAGACCCAATATAGCTATGCATATACCAATTATAGCAACAGAGACATCAGTTTAGCTACTGATTCACCAATTATAACAACTTTGATGTCAGTATAGAAACTAAAACTAGGTTTAAAAATAATATTCAGTATATGGGTAACTGGGATTTAAGAATGATTTTTGAAGTGGGTGGGTTTAAAAATAATTAGGGTAAACCTTTGGGTTTATAACAAAAATCCTAAAGAAACAGTACCTTTGAATTTCTACCTTGACATTCTTTTATACTAACAACGCTAGTATCAGCAAAGCAATAAAAGATATCGTGTTTCTTCACTATTGAACTTGAACCCCATTCAAACATAAAAAAGGGTTAATTTGTTTTTTTTAAAGGCTAACTTTCAGAAACCGCAATTTTTTGTATGGGTGAGTAAATTACGCGGCTATATTTTTTCCAGTGAAAATTGCGGTTAATTTTGTTAGGCGGGTTTTCTGATAAAATCTTAAACTAAAAGGAGGTTTTCAAGTTTTCTCTAATAATTTTGAAAGTTATGGAAGGTTATCTGATAGTCGTCTAAAGTTAAGGTTTTTTATGATATTTAGCCTAAGAGCATCTCCAAGGGGCCGGAAAAACCCAACCCCTTAGCTAAATTAAGGGGATCGTAGGGGAACCTACCCCAACGAGCTGAAAAACTTTCCCCTTCACCCCCAAACCCCTTAACTCTCTACCCAAATTAAGGGGAAGGTTAAAGTCCCTTAACCTTCCCCTTATAATTTTATTTTAACATTTTTTTAATGGAGTTAATGTATAGTTAATCAAATTTAGTTAATGTATAGTTAATTCAAAATAAAATAATTGAGTTAATGTATAGTTAATTCAATTTGATTAATATTTTTTAAAACGTACCCCTTATAATTTTTTATTATAACTTTTTATTAATATTTTTTATTAATTATAGGTTGTTTTTCTAGTATAAAGTGTTTTAAACATGATTTATATGAAACTAATATTAAAATAATATGAATTTAAATTTAAAATAATATTTAACTTTTAACATGATTTATATAAATTAACTATTATATAAATTAATTATTTGTTAAATTTTAATATGGTTAATTAATTTAATGATTATATAAGGTAATTTCTTAATTTAAATTAATTAAATAATTATTTTTAGTTATCAATATTTAATTATTTATTCATTTATAAATAAATCACATATTTAATTAAAGGGAAAAATGTGTCCAGGCCCCAAAAACAGAAACTTCATGTGACAAGACCCCTCATAGTTTTTCCCATGTGGATTAGCCCCTTGAAGTGTGACACTTTGTACTACAGTCCTTTTTTATCAAATATCACATGCCAGCTAAGCTAAAATTCCCAAACTATCATTATTCTCTCTCCTCAATCTCTCTGACCCAGCACTCATATCATCTCTCTCTCTCATCTCCTCTCTCCCTCTCTCTCTCTCACCTCTCTCTAAAACTAAGAGCTTTCTCAAGCTCGTCGTCGTGGTCGAGACGCACAGAGCATTAATCTATTAGCTAGAAGAAGAAAAGAAAAAAAAAGAAAAAAAGAAAAACGAGACGCACAGAGCATTAATCTATTAGCTAGAAGAAGAAAAGAAAAAAAAAGAAAAAAAGAAAAAAGAAAGGTAAGGAGAAGTAGAGTAGAAGGTAGCTAGAAGAAGAAAAGAAAAAAAAAGAAAAAAAGAAAAAAGAAAGGTAAGGAGAAGTAGAGTAGAAGGGGAATAAAGAAAAATACCGTAATTAAGAAAGAACGAAAATGTGTATTAATGTATCTCTATGAATGAAATTGCCACGGCGCCGCCGAGCGATATTCGAAGCAATATAACGAGAGGTAAAAAATGAGCCCAAATGAAAGGAAGATACCGTGTGATAGACAATATAAAGGGCTACACACCGGCGCAGACGGTAGTGAAAACGGAGACCGGAGGTGGCCGTAAAACACACGCGAAGTCGGCACGATGCTGGTGTTTTCTGCTCGCTGCTGCCGTCGAGCGATGTTTCGGATGTTACCGAGAGAGATAATGAATGAGTTAGAGCGTGATACAAATTGGAGGTGATAGGCAACATGTAGGACTACTCACCAAAGAAGAAATCGGCAGAAACGGAGATTGGAGGTGATCAGAAAGTGCGCGCGAAGTCGGCACAAAACTATAGTTTTTAGCAGTGCAATTTCTCGCCGTTCGGGTTTGTTCTTCGCTGTTCGGAGATTTTCGCCGCTGTCCGGGCTTACCGGAGGTGGGAGGAGGTTGCCGGGGTCGTCGGGGTGTCTCGGTGGGCTCCGTCGGAGGTAGGAGGAGCTTTTCTCCGTTCCCAAGAGCCTAGAACTAAGATGAATTAGAGCTAGAACTAGCTAAGTGTGCATGTAAAACACTTGTTAGTTCTTTCTTCTACGTTAGTTCTAGCTTCTATTCCCCTAGTTCTAGCTTGTATACAGTCAATTCTAGCTTCTATCTTGTTAGTTCTAAACCCAACAAGGGTTTTTTACATGCACACTTGCTAGTTCTTTCTTCTACGTTAGTTGTAGCTTCTATTCTCCTAGTTCTAGCTTCTATCTTGCTAGTTCTAAACCCAATAAGGGTTTTTTACATGCACACTTGTTAGTTCTTTCTTCTACATTAGCTCTAGCTTCTATTATCCTAGTTCTAGCTTGTATGCCCCTAGTTCTAGCTTCTATCTTGCTAGTTCTAGTTAGTTCTAGCTCTAATTCATCTTAGTTCTAGGCTCTTGGGAACGGAAAAAAGCTCCTCCTACCTCCGACGGAGCCCACCGAGACACCCCGACGACCCCGGCAACCTCCTCCCACCTCAGGTAAGCCCGGACAGCGGCGAAAATCTCCGAACAGCGAAGAACAAACCCGAACAGCGAGAAATTGCACTGCTAAAAACTATAGTTTTCTGCCGACTTCGCACGCACTTTCTGATCACCTCCAATCTCCGTTTCCGCCGATTTCTTCTTTGGTGAGTAGCCCTACATGTTGCCTATCACCTCCAATTTGTATCACGCTCTAACTCATTCTCTATCTCTCTCGGTAACATCCGAAACATCGCTCGACGGCAGCAGCAAGCAGAAAACAGCAACGCCGTGCCGACTTCGCGCGTGTTTTACGGCCACCTCCGGTCTCCGTTTTCACGACCGTCTACGTCGGTGTGTATCCCTTTATATTGTCTATCACACGGTATCTTCCTTTCATTTGGGCTCATTTTTTACCTCTCGTTATATTGCTTCGAATATCGCTCGGCGGCACCGTGGCAATTTTATTCATAGAGATACATTAATACACATTTTCGTTCTTTCTTAATTACGGCATTTCTCTTCATTCCCCTTCTACTTTACTTCTCATTACCTTTCTTTTTTTTTCTTCTAGCTAATAGATTAATGCTCTATGCGTCTCGGCCAGGACGACGAGCTTGAGAAAGCTTTTAGTTTTAGAGAGAGGTGTGTGAGAGAGAGATGAGAGGAGATGAGAGAGAGGAGATGAGAGAGATGATATGAGTGCTGGGTCAGAGAGATTGAGGAGAGAGGATAAGAATAGTTTGGGAATTTTAGCTTAGTTGGCATGTGATAATTGATAAAAAGGAGCTGCAGTACAAAGTGTCACACTTCAAGGGGCTGATCCACATGGAAAAAACTATGAGGGGCCTTGTCACATGAAGTTTCTGCTTTTGGGGCCTGGACACATTTTTCCCTTAATTAAATCCTAATCTATCAAATTAAAACACTAAATATGAATAATTAAGGGGTAGAGGTTACTTTTAGGGGCTGTTTGGTTGTTGTTGGTAAAGTTGTGTATTTATGACACAACTTGAAAAGTTGTTGTCCACCTAATCAATTTTACTTTTATACTTTTCTTTGTTTGTTTTTGATTCTATTGGAATCAGAAAACACTTGTTTGGTTTGCAAAATGAAACTTTAATTGTTTGTTTGGAAAGTGTAAAAAGTGGTCCCTACTCAAATGATCATATTAGTTGGAATTATTTTTTATTATTTTTTCCTAACTTCCATGTTAGCTTTCTCCTAAAATCATATCTTTTTTTCATGAAATCACTTTACAAGCCACATCAGCATATAAAATCACTTTACACTATTTTCACAACTACAAACAAACAATTGAAAGTGATGAAAGCTGACATTGGGACCCACTTTTTTACACTTTACATCCTTTTACATGGTAAAAAGGACCCACTTTTTTACACTTTACATCCTTTTACATGGTAAAAACATACAACCAAACAGCCCCTTAAGGGAAACCATTGGAGGAGAACCTTCCCCCCTAAGACCCTGTTTGGATTGAGGGTAATGGGGGTGAGGGGAAGGGAGGGTAACTTTTAACCTTGTTTGGGAAGGAAATATAGCAAGTTAATAGGGGTGAGGGGAGGTGAAAGGAGGTGAAAAAACACCAGGATTTCTTCCCCCCCAATTTGGGGGGTAATGGGGGTGAAGGTAAAGAGGGGGAATACAACAAATGCAGAGGGACATTTTTACCCCCAGCTAAGATCAAAATCCAACGGCTGATATTTTCCCACACAAAGCCCACAGTATTAAACTCTCTGTTGCTCTCTGTGCCTCCGTCATTTCTCTGGCCTCCGCCATTTCTCCTCCGCCCTCTGCTAGCCTCCGCGTCTTCTCTAGCCTCCGCTTGCCTCCGCGTCTTCTCTCGCCTCCGCGTCAATCTCGCCTCAAAAATTTTCAAGGTAAGATTTCTCCTCTATATTCAATTTTACTGCAGATCTCGTAATTAGCTCCAATTTTTAAGCTCTGTTGGATGTTGATTACGTTGAAATTAGTCAGATCTGAGCAAAAGGTTTGGTGAAGTCTTGATCTAGGGTTTGCTGGAGTTGTTTTAAATGGGTTTGTTTTAAATGGGTTGTTTTAAATGGGTTTGCTAGAGTTGTTTTAAATGGGTTCTCTTCTCTATATTCAATTTTCTATTCATACAAAACTGCATATCATAATTTCTCTGGTTTATGAATTTATAATGGGTTGTTTTAAATGGGTTTGGTTATTTTTGTAGGGGAGTAATGGGTAGGGATCAAAATTTTATCTTTCGGATTGGTGGACAAGGTTGAGATTTTCGCTAGAATATAGTTTGCATTTGCATTGAGAATAGAAAATTATTGATTTTAGATTGTTACCTCTTATTTTATCCTGTTAGAAATTCGTAATTTTAGAAAGTTGGCGATTGAGAAAATTTTCCTTGTATTGAGTTTGATTGTTTATGAAATTGTATATTGGAACATGTAGCTGCTGAATTTGTACTTTAATTTTAACTTTTTATTTTTATTTTTATTTTTTGGTTTTAATTAGTTATTTGAGGTGAATTATTGATAAAAGTACATTAGATTTTGAATTGATTAGAAAAAACTGTGTGTATATATATAGACACACACACACATTAAATTCCATGTCTTAACGGTAAATTTTTTAACTTGTTGAATAGATAATGGACGCATGGTTCCAATTTCAACACACATGTAATATTACGGTTGGATATGCTATTTGCTTATTTGCTTATTGGTTCGTGCATCGAAGAGATAGGATTAGGAGATTAAATATTGATCCTCAAGAACCTAAAGAAGTAAGAGATGTTGTGCGAGAAATAATGTCTCAAAGAGTTATATGTCGTGAAATGATTCGAATGAATCCACCAGCTTTTAACCAATTGTGCGAAATATTAGAGATGAATGGTGGGCTTAAACCAACTCAAAGGGCTACTATTGAAGAGCAAGTTGTAAAATTTTTATACATGTTGGGACACAGTGTAACAACTCGTGAAGTAAGATATTTGGACGATCTGGAGAGAGTGTGAGTCGTCATTTTCATAATGTTCTAAGAGCTATGATAGAGTTGGAGGAAATGTTTTTTGTGCAACCCGATGGATCACAAGTTCCTTCGGAGATACTCACCAATTCAAAGTTCTATCCCTATTTCAAGGTGATGATATCTTCCTTCACATCTAATCTTGTATAGTTTGTTATTTATTAGATTTTAATTAATGTCTATGAAATCAGGATTGTGTTGGGGCAATTGATGGCACACATATTCGAGTAAAAGTTTCCCCTCGAGACGCCCCTAGATATCGTGGTAGGAAAGACTATCCCACACAAAATGTGTTGGCCGCATGCACGTTTGACTTGAAATTCACTTACGTTTTGCCTGGATGGGAAGGAACTGCATCTGATTCCAGAATTATTAAAAATGCTTTACAAAGGCGATTTCCACTTAAGATTCCTCAAGGTAATTATAAACTAAAGAAAAGCCTAAAATTGTGTCTTTGTAATAAGCTACTAATCAAAATGAACTTGTTTTATAGGAAAATATTATCTGGTTGATGCTGGATTCATGTTACGAAGTGGATTACTTCCACCCTACAGAGGGGAACGTTATTGGAAAAGAGATGGCATCGCAGTTGCTATGTGGCAAGATTACCATCGATAATTTATTTTAGTTATGCTTATTGTTTGTTTGATTTGTACTCTCTATTTGGGTTATCTTCTCAATTTGTGTTGTACTTGATAAGTGTTAGACTAATATCATTTTAATTCGGTAGCATGAATGTTAGTTTATTTATTGTGATCTCATGTCATCTCTCATTGATAGTATTTAATTATTGAATTGTGAATAATTAATTCCTTCTAACATTATTGTGTGAATTAAAGGATGTCGAAAAGAAGGAATTATTGAATTGTGAATAATTAATTCCTTCTAACATTATTGTGTGAATTAAAGGATGTCGAAAAGAAGGAATGTGGAAGGTGATTCTTCTCGATGTAGGAATGCTAATGTTTTGATATGGACTCCTAATATGGAAGATAAGCTAATTGATGCTTACTTGAATCAACATGTAATGGGAAACCGAGTTGATGGGAATTTTACAACAATGGCTTATAATGAAATAGTAGCCGAACTTAAAGAAAGCTTTCCCGATAAGCCATTTGATAAGGAAAAAGTAAAGAATCGCATGAAATATATGAAGACAAAATGGACAGCTTGTTATGATTTATTTAAGAATGTTGGAAGTGGCTTTGCTTGGAATCGAAGCACGGGTTTGTGGAGTGCGGAACGTGAGGTTTGGGATAGACTAATCGAGGTAAAATTACACAATCTTTATTTTTTATCCCATTAATGCCATTTATTACAAGGATTATTATTTTTAGTAGCTGAATCGGAAACCTTTTTTTAGTTTCAGCATTGTGCTGAAACTGAGGTTCAGTTTCAGCAGTGTGCTGAAACTGAAATCAGGTTTCAGCTGCTGAAACCTGATTTCAGTTTCAGCACAATGCTGAAACTGAAACATAATATATTTGGCGAGCGTCCATGTTTGTTAAATTTCCAAATTGATAGTAGAGATATACTATATGTTTTTCTTGAAAAATAGTGGTATGACATGTAAATGTGCGTTCAAAAATGATATCGCAATCTGGAGGTAGGATGGCATCAGAGATGGATTGAGATTCATTAGCTGTTGTAGATAAAGCAAACCATGAGGTTATTCAATCACAATCATTAAGTGTTCAGCTTTAACGTTTCAAAGCAAATGTTGTGCAACATCTTTTTCTTTTATAAAGGCATGATAGTACTGGAGCATCTTTATTGTTTAGAAATGAATGGCCATTTCTTACAAACTGTTTGCTAGAAACTTTTAGACATAATTAATACTTGCTTTCTGTAACACTACATTATAGTTATAGTTACTCTCCAACATAGCATTTGATTTGGATTCCAACTTCCCAGATTATACAACTGTATATGTTTCATACAAAGAGCATACTGGACATAATATCCACTTTATTTGCTCTGAAGATATCAGAGTTTTAATCCTTTATTGGCTTGTGATACTATGTACTGTTTCCTTTTCTTTTCTTTTCTTTTTTTGTGTTTTTTTTCTTTCCTGGGAACTAAACTTGTAGTAGTTTCCTAACAGTTTCTGAGAGTTTGATTATACTTAAAATTTAGGTTATATTGATATGTTTTTGGGGGTGAAAATTCAAGTGATAGGTTGAGAACCATGTTGAGCTAAAATTTGGTGCAAATCTGTTTCAGGCTCACCCAGAAGCTGCTGAATGGAGGACCAAGTCTATCCGAAACTATGATAAACTATTGGAGCTTTTTGCAGCTGATAGAGCAAATGGGGAACTTGCTGAAACTGCGGCTGAGATACGAGAAAGGAGGAGGGATTTTAGTGCAAGCAATGGCTTTGATTCTCATACAATTGAGGACATCGATGGTATGGTTTCTCGAAATGAAATTTTGTTAGAGAATTTCGATAGGATTAATGATGAGGACCCAAATGACAACAATGATGAACATGTGATTACCCCTGAAACCAAATCAACTGCAAATTCACAAAAGAAAACTAGAAAATCGAAGGATGAAATTTCTATTGTTGATCAGGAGGTGATAAAGGGTATGCAGAGGATAGCTGAGGCAATTGAATCCACTGGTGATAAATACGTACAAGCTCTTGAACGTGCTCCAATGAAAAGTAGTGATGTTTGGAATCATTTGCTTGAACTTGGTGTTGAGACTGCTCAAATTAAACAAGCGTATCTTTTCCTAACTAAGCATCCAGAGGATCTAAAAGCTTTGCTTGGATGTCCATTTGAAGAGCGCAAGGAACTTCTTATGATGATGTTATCTTGAGAATCTATTGTTATTTATTTTTGTAAGTTGTATTGCCGAATTTGATTATCTGTGGCAATTACAAACTTGTTTGTTTTTGTAAAACTTAGTATGAATGTGGTCATATTTTGCTAGAAACATGTGCTAATTGCAAAACTTTGATTTTATGAATTATGTTCCTTTTTTATGTAAGTTGTTTTTGCCTATTGTGCAATATGGAACATTATATAGCTCTGATTTGTGTTGATATTGCCATAAGTGCAATATGGAACATTATATAGCTCTGATTTGTGTTGTTAGTGCAATATGAAACATCATTCTGGGGCACTCAAGACATTATTGTCATCTACTTAGATTGTTTATATGTACTTCTGGTTCATTTTTCTTATAATAATGCATTTGGCTATCTAATTTTACTGGGTTTCATATGATCAGTTCTGTCATAGTAAAGCATAATTCATCTTCATTTTTCTTTCTTCTTTAACCAGCATTTTTCTTTCTTCTTTAATCATGCAGTTCTTATTGTTAGAAGTAAACAGATTATACTATTTGACTGGTACATCTCATTATTAGTACGTCTTGCACCATGTTCTCCTGATGCATACTATATGACAGAAAAAAGGCTTTGAACTTCCATATGAAAAAGGCCTTATAATTTTTCATATAATTCCAGTAGTTCCAATATATTTTATAAGGGCTGTGAACTAGTATATCTGTGATATCGTAGTTTAGGACACTAGTAAGGGTATTTTTGTCAATTTATATACATTCCCTTCCCTTCCCTTCCTGTTATTAGACTTTCCAAACGGGATGAAATAACTTCCCCTTGATTCACCTTACTAATTTCCCAAACAAGTTTTAGAAATTCCCTTCCCTTCCCTTCCCTTCCCTTCCCCTAGGTTCCCCTAACTTCCCTTCACCCCCTCCAAATCCAAACAAGCCCTAAAAGTCCCCCTAGATTAACAAGTGGCACTCACCCCCTTCTCTTCTAATTTCTACGAACAAAATTAACTTGGTCATTTTCTGTAATTTACCCAGCAGAAAAGAACGAGTCTTTCTATAAGATGACGAGGGATTCGCTTACTGAGATCGTCCTTGTGGAGGACGTCGAAGGGCTGACGGAAGTACTTGCGGATGACGTCGCCGGCGGCGTCGGCGACCTTGTTCGCCACCGCCACGAACCCATCCACCTCCTCCTCCGTCGCTTCCATCGGACTCGACCGATACGAAACCCTAGTTGGGCAACGGGAGCGGAGCCGGAGAGAGAATCCGACCCGGTTGGGGACCCGGATCCGATGAGGGGGCGGAGGGAGGAGGTTAGAGTGAGAGGCAATGGGCATTGAATGAGAGAGAAAGAGAGGGAGGGGTTTAAATAAATTCTAGAGAGAGAAAGAGAGAGAGAGAGAGAGAGTGGGAGATGAGAGTGAAGAGCACCGGCGAGGCCCCCGTGAATCAGAAAAGAGACAGATGATCACCCTGCCTCTTTCGATGCGTCACTCGTCTTCCTTTGCCTGCAGGAGGGTTTTAGACGGCTTTATTATTCGGCTAAATTTTGCCTTTTTCTCCTATTCTTCTCTCTTCTTTTTTTTTTCTTTTTTCTTTTTTCTTTCCCCCCCTACTCCTCACTTTTTTTTATTGGGACTTTTTTTTTTAGAAATTACTTTTAAACTTTAGTCGGCTAAATAGCTTTTATATATATCCTAAGTTTTTTCTTGACACTTAAAAACGCTGTTGTTTTTAAAGTGTCATATCATTTCCTTCTATTAATTAAATCTTAGAATATTACAATGTTGCTTGCAGATGATGGGAATTGTCTAGTTATATCTCTAAAATTGGTTGAATCGACTAAAAACGAGGGTAAAACCTAATATTGGGGAAAACTTTCAAGCAGAGTTAATTCGGTTGTAGATGTGCTTTTTTTTAACAATCAACTACATATTTTAGAGAAATATATATAGTTGATATGTTTATATCATGCGCAAGTTAAATTAAAAAAAAAAATTTAGGGAATTATTCTAGCAGTTAACGGTGATATTCTAATATTTTAACTAATAAAAACTAGTAACATGTTACTTTTAAAATGTTAAAGCATTTAATTATCAAAAAAATTCTTATGTTACATAAGTGCAAAATCATGTAAATTGTAAGGTAGTTAATTAAGTGGTATTTAGCCAATTTCATCATAAAAATTAATTACTTATTTTTCTACTTTTTCATGAAAATCGCCTTTAAGTAGGTCAAAAACCATTGAATTTTTTTACATAAATCACCTCATAAGTAATTCTAGTTTTCAGTCAACCATTTTTATCAATTTCTGCTCGATTAATATCCAAATTATCCTCATTCCTTGCACATGCCTAACACGTATTTCCCAACTATATATACGTGTAATTAATGAGAATGGTTTGGATAATTATGGTATTAATTGAGCAGAATTTGACAAAAATGATTAATTAAAGATTAAACATACTTATAAGATGATTTATGTATAAAAAGTACTTTAAAGATGGTTTCTATCAATTCAACACTAAAAGAAGATAAAAGAAATATTTTCATCCGACATTTGGAATATCCTGGAGATGTATTTCACTTGTATACAACTCTGATGTTCAATGGTTTTCTGAAAAAAAATGGTGATGTTCCAATTGTACCACACATAGGTACAAGTCAGAATGATGAAAGGTTTAAGGGTCTTCCATAAAATGGTAACTGAAAGATCTATGGTTTGAGTTAGAAAATGTAGAGAATATAAAGAAGGGGTTGTCTCCCCAATAAAAACCACCATTAAAATAGATTAGCCGTTGTTTGCCAATAGGATTTAGCTTTTTGTTGTTGTTTGAGTTTTGTTTATGTTTCTTAGTTTGAGGTTAAATAGACGACTACCGCTACAACCACTGTCATGCAAATTCTCTTTTATTGGGTGAATTCAAGTTTCTTAGTTTGAGGTTAAACAGACGACTACCACTACAACCACTGCCATGCAAATTCTATTTTATTGGGTGAATTTTAAATAAAAAGCCCTACGTTTAGCTGTTTCCCATATAACACTCCTTAGCTTCCAAATGTCAAAAAAACTCCTTTAAGTTCTGAAGTTCTCAGGAAAACCTCTTAAACTTTCAACATTTTTCAAATACCCCTTATCCAAAGAAAAACCACCAAATATATATATATATATATATATAGACCCTTCACAAAAAATGCGTTGCTTGATCCATGAATGTAAGAAATAGTGAGAATTCTTAATCTCGGGCTCTCAATGTCTCTCTCAATTCAAAGATTCAGGATTTGAATTGATGTCGTTTCATTAATGATTCCTCCTAAAGATGAATATGCAAGCATACGTTTCATGCTTGTTTGAGTAATAGCAATGAGATTCCCTAATATCATGCTAAAAATAGCTAGGATTTCCAAAAGAATATGTCATTCCTTTGATGGGAAATAAAAAGGAATATCGAAAATTCGTGTGGCTGAAGCTGAAGCAACTACTTTTGAAGTAACAAAAAGAAAAGCAACGACTGGAGTGGTAGAGTCAGAGTCAAAAGAGGATTCCTCACATTTTTCTCTCATATATAAGTATTTGGATCATCTTCAGTTAGGTAGCACTTGGACAGTTTCGTTACTCTAATGGCCTGTTTGGATGGAGTGTAGAGAGAGGGAGGGGAAGAGAAATCTAATTTTAACCTTATTTGGGGGTTCCATTTAGGATGGTAGAGGAGGGAAATTGGGGGGAAATTGGGGGGAAATTTGAGTCAAAATCTTACACCCCAAATTAGGGTGTAATGAAAGGAAAGTTTCCCCTTCCTTCCCGTTCCTTCTCTTCCCTAAGTCATCTTCCAAACACGCTGCACTGCTTACCCTTTTTTCTCAAATTCAAATTTAAACGGTGAGGTAATACCACATAAGATTTTCACAATGAAATTAACGGTATAGTGGTTTTTAAAATACCACAGTTTTTTGCTTAGGGGATATAATTTGCTTTTTGATAAAATCAGATATTTTAAAAAAACTTAAAAAATAGAACCAATTATACTCTCCAATTACGTCAAATAAACAACTCCCTCTTACATTCTTCAAATTTAATTTCTATAGCCACGTATAATAAAATTTATACCCAGAAATGGTCAATGAAAGTATTTGTTTTTATCATAAATTGGAGAGAGTATCGCATATTAGAGAGATTAGGGAGGTTTTTTTAGTTTTTAAAAGTATACTATTTTATCATAAAATCAAATAGTATTTACTATTATGGTAATTTACCATCTACAGATGAAAGTATTGGAAGATTGCCTTCATAGGCCTAACAGAGTCGTGATCCAAACTAACTCAGCGGCCCGAAAGCCTAGCCGAGAGCAAACAGTCTTAGTCAACACGAAGCACGGAAGTAGTCGACCCCTCATCTTCAAGACGACTCCTCAGGAATCCACACGACTCCCAATCGAGGCGACTCTCCTAGCAGTCGGCTCGGCCGTCTACCCAGTTGCCTGACCGAACTAACAACTCACTTAACTGATCGACGAGTTACGAGAACGACTCACAAACTGACTCGATCCTGCTGGGGAGGATAAAATCCAACTAAGCTATTTTCGAGATATACATCGAACACCACCACAGTATTGATCGGTCACATCAAAGGTCTCAACTCTGACAAGTCTTAAATGCAAAACGGCTCATTCTGTTCCCAAGTCACTTCTGGGACATAATCGAGACACCCCCTGTGCTCAGACGACTTTTCCTCCCGTCACCAACCGCCATCTGTAAAGCAATGAGTGGCTAAATTGGCCAGCCTATCTTCCCCTTGTCCTTATCCGTCAGATCTGGGACATTATCGAGGCACCTCCTGTACTCGAAATGACTTTCCCTCCAGTCGCTTACCGCCATCTGTAAAGCTGGGGACGACTTAGCACCTCGACTTATTCTCTGCCATGCGCCGTCTAATCAACTCGGGGGCTTTATCGAGATCATCTCGAAGGACACCTCCTCCAATCGCCAGCCAACACGTAAGGGACAACTGCTGAATCAGCCTCCAGCTCATCCCCCACCGTCGTTTACAGACCCCTCATGAAGCAACTAGTCTATCCTCAACAGCCTATAAAGAGGGAGGCAATTGATCATAGGAGGGGCTGGCCTTTTTTGACTCAGGTTCTTTGATCTTGAAAACACCTAGAAGTAATTTTCCCTAAAAAATTACTTCTACATAACTTTAGGAGGAAGATGTTCCCTGCATGGACCTTAATGGCCTAGGGACTCTCCCCAAAACCTCCTTCAAACTCATCCACTAACTTGACCGTCGGAGGTACTACGGAGGAAACACGTCCTGTACCACTGCGTTCCTTGCATGTGCAGGCAATCAGTCCACCCCGAGCGCTCAGAGCTAGGCATGAAGTCGGAGGGGGAGTCGGCCACATCATTCTCCATCATCCTCCACCGGCAGACAACCTCCCCCCGTGTGATTTCAGACATCAACATTTATCAAATCCACCATAGAATTTTAAAAACAAGCATTTTAGAGCCCATCTAGATAACAAAAGTACTTAAAGTAAGAAGTAGATCATATAAATAACCAAAATTTTAAAGTAAGAAGTAAAGGAAGTAATGTTTTTCTTATTTGTTTCACACATTTATGTAAGTAGTGAAAGTAGGACTTCTTTGTCTTCATAGACTTTTCTTGTTTGGATTGCCATTGAAGTAGAAGCTGCAGTTGATACATGTACACAAGATGTGAGATTACCTCCGTTTTCACCATTAAAACTCAAAACAAATATTTTATCCAACTAATTAATACTGCAGGTGTACTAGCTTGATCGGTCTTATTATAATGATCAAAGGACTTATTTGAATCATATTTGGTTGTACCTAATTAATGGCTTAACGTAAGCATAAGAGCAAACAAAATTGTTTGTGCAATCACAGAAAATCAAGTGATGATGTATACTTAGGAATTAGACGAACACAGTATTCAGACCTAGAGAATTTATCTCATTTTATTCAAATATCTGATTTTGAATGCTTATAAATTCATAAGTTTTATTCAAATATCTGATTTTGAATGCTTATAAATTCATAAGATCCCAAGCCTGTTTCCTTTATTTCGCTAGAGAGGGAAGGGGATGGTGAAAATACGGAAAGAGAGAGAAGATATTTGGAGATTTTAGAAGGGGAGAATATCTACAAAGTTAAATACTTCGGAGCCTTAAATAGAAGGAAAAAAAAATTAAG